TTTATGTAATTTGGAAGCTCTTCGTTCCTGTCTGGTTTATATCCTTGTTAATCCTCCCTAGTGAGAATGCTTATAAGATATGTTGCGAAGCGCAAGCCTGACTGTTCGGAGAATTCGGGATCAATGTGCTTCCACAGCTGTTTATTTACACGTCGTCCATCTTTCAGTTCCGCCAACGAAACACGCACTATGGAAACTTTGATCACAAGTTTAATTTGTCAAAGTTGTTTTGCCAGTTAAGAATTCTACTCTCAAGGAAGACGTCGATGTAGATAAGTCCGGGCCTGTAGATTAACAAATATACTACTGAGATACTTCTAGTTATAGGTTATTTTCGTAGGAAATTAGAAAACCTAAAAACCGCTTTTTTCCGTGAAAACTACTTTAAGGTGTCTCAGATAGCTTATATGGTTGGTCTGACCACTTGTTCGAGCAACCTGAGCTTTTGCAATCGGGTGCAGTTATTTGATAATTTTTGTTCCATATAGAGGCCGAGCCAGTAAACGAGAAAAACGTCGATCAGCTCTAAGCTGAAACTTTGGACTAGGCATTGAAAATGTAGAGTCATCTGATACGTCAAGTTATGACCTTAAGTGAGGAAAAGTATGCTTAATTGTAAGATAACTATCCAAAATCGCTCTATGCACTGATAGCAAGAAATAGGGTAACTTTTTGTTATAGAATACTTAAAGTCAGGTAATTTGGCTTCGTCAACAAACTGAGATACCACTACCACGATACAAATGTACAAAAAGGAAATTCAAAGGCAACCCGCCTACATATCCTCCAAATACAGGGTGTCCCAAAAACTGTATACACATTTTGAGGAATTGTAACCATGGTGTTTATTATAATTTTATTATTTCAGAAAAGTAAAAATATTTATAAGTATTCTTAACTGCGCATGAATGCACCGGTTTACAAAGCGAATTGTGTCATGATATCTACCATTTAATTGCTTCCTTTGCGCACACAAAACCGGCTTCCTCAACCGGATAGCAGTTGCTTCTGCTGTTTCTGGCAGGCGCTGTCCCAATGACCTAAGGTAATTTGACTGGACCTTCTTGATCACCCTGAAGGCTTCGTTGGGTTCCACCTGATGTCCGGAATCCGCCATGGGCACTAGAATAGAGCTGTTGATGGCCCTGGCGGTATGGACTTCACCTATGCTTAGCCATTGCGGGAGGCGTTCCTTATTCTTTTGGATAGGCGCCGACTCTTGCGACCAATATAACCTGTTCCACAGGAGTAAGTAAAGGAGTAGATGCACATAGAGGCGGTCTGAGTCGGTAACCTGTCCTTACCTACCAATGTAGGACTTGGTACCTGGTGGACTCTGACCATCGCATGGATGCCATGGAAGCCTTCCTTGTGATATAAAAGGTACCCTCCGTCTATTCAAAATTTATTGGACAGCCTCTGTTTTCTACCACAAAATCGGCCGCCGACCGGCCCTGTGCGCCCAAAAGTACTTCGTCGCAAATGCGCAGTTACCATGGGCAAAAGCCGGTAATCCAACAGCCAGTAGCTTATCAACCCGGTCGACTACCATTCCCTCTAACGCTGATCATATTTTGATCCCGACCCACCCCCTGCCTCTTCCCTGAAAACCATCCTCGTTTTTCTGCCGATCCGAAAATTTATTTACTTAATTGCCATATAAATGTAAAGGCCTGACGAAAATTTATCGAAAACAAGTTCATGTCCGCCAATTCACTTTTCGAAAATGTCTCTTAATTTAATGTTCAGTGTTCACATCATCATCTGAAAGTTAACTGTTCGGGTTCGGTAGTTCGGTGGCTAAAGTTACCAGAATACATACATGAAGATAGCGTGCCAACTGTTCTTTGGTCTTTATGTCACTAGCTGCTAATCTGCTCGTTAAGACCGGTCAGTAGCATTCTACTCGCTTGAGAATAACCATAAAACTGACTGATAAAGGCTATCCGCCCCCACCCTCCAGTGACAATCGCTCGCTTCGCGCAAATAGCAGCAACTATCACTCCTCTTTTCAACGCCCGCAACCTAACCCAATTGCCCTTCCTTCCCTTCTCCCAACACATTAACCTGTACACGGCT